GGAAGGACCTAGGCAAAATGTCCTCATTTCTGCAGAGAAACTTTTGACATTTTTATCATGAAAAGTGTAAGTTTTCGTTTTCACTTAAAAGATTTAAACAAGAGAAAGCGCCTGCCCAGCTCCTGGCCTGCCCGTTTTTAGTGAGGTGTCCAACAATGCTTGGCCGCTAGGACCTGTGTGAGGGGAAGAACTCTGAAGACTGAACACCGATTTCCTTAGAGCAGTGGTCCCCAACCTTTCAGGGCTGCCGGGCGTTCGGGAGCGGGTCTGCTCATGCGCTGGGCATTTGGGGGCGGGGCTGTGCATGCACCGCGCGCCCGGGGCTGGCACCGCACATGTGCCATGCGCCCGGGGCAGGGGCAGCCCATGCACTGTTGCCCGCGTCCGGCACTGTGCATGCACCATGCGCCGGGGGTGGGGCCGGCCCAGATCATTCAGCGGGCGCCCATAAATGCCCCGGCGGGCGCCATGGCGCCGTGGGCACCACGTTGGGGACCACTGCCTTAGAGTGTCTTCCCAGGCAAGGGGCTTTTCACCCGTGCACACTATAAAAGTAGCAAACCCTTTGGTACTGCGCTGTTTTGCCTTCATCTGAAGTGAATCATTGACAGCGAGGGACAAAGCAAATAGGAACTGTTCGGTTCCCAAAGTGACCTTTAGCCCCACACAGATCTTTGCCCTGCTGCAGTCAGTAATGGTTCTCTGCTGAATCCCAGAGCGAGCCATGCAGCTCAAACTCCCACTCTTGTGAAGCAGACACTTAGCCCCCGGCATTTCCTGTTGCTGCCCTTCCCAGCTCGCACCCCCTGGGGTAACGCAGCTCTCAGGTGGGGGCACTCTAGAGGCCCTTCCGTGAAGCTGTTGTCCAGCTTCGGTCCAGACTTTGCCTCAGCTGCACGCATAACAGCAGGAGGGGGGCTCTGAAAGAGCGTCCGGCCTTCCTGCTCTCACTAACCGTGCCCCTCATTTCCTAGCAACGCCAGACCCCAGCAGCTCCACCACACGGTTACCACACCTGGCTGCCCGGGATGGAGGTGACTGCAAGACAGAGCCTGTGTGGGGAGAATACTCAGCCACCTAGCCCAGGAGGGGGGTGACAATGCTCCAATACTCCCTTTCCCTCACAGGCGCCACACTGGCCCTGCCTGCAGCACTCTTGGCTCCCAGCGCCGTCCTATGCCAGGGCACCAGACACCCCGAGGGCAACACATGCCAGCCACGTAGGTGGGTGGGGAGAGAGTGCAAGCAAGGCTGCCCCGGGGGGGGGTGGTATGGGAAAGTGTGATGGGAAGGCGCAGAGATGGAGAGGCCATGGGGGCCGCACACAGGGGTGCAGGCCTCTTCCGCTGCAGTGCAGAGCTGGCGACCGGAATACTCCCTCCTGGCCCTCAGATCTGTGAAATGTGGGAAGTGGGAGATACGAGTCAGTGTGCCCTTGTAGCCAAGCAGCCTAATGGCATATTAGGGTGCATTAGGAGGAGCATTGTCAGCAGATCCAGGGAAGTGATTATTCCCATTTGGCACTGGAGAGGCCACATCTGGGCTGTGTCTAGACTGGCCACTTTTTCTGGAAAAGCACCCGCTTTTCCGGAAAAACTTGCCAGCTGTCTACACTGGCTGCTTGAATTTCCACAAAAGCACTGACGATCTCATGTAAGATTGTCAGTGCTTTTGCGGAAATACTATGCTGCTCCCGTTCGGGCAAAAGTCTTTTTCTGAAAAACTTTTGCGCAAAAGGGCCAGTGTAGACAGCTGAGATTTGTTTTCCGCAAAAAAGCCCCGATTGCGAAAATGGCGATCGGGGCTTTTTTGCGGAAAAGCGCGTCTAGATTGGCACGGACGCTTTTCCACAAAAAGTGCTTTTGCAGAAAAGCG